GAAGATCAGCAATGGACTTCTTGGACATTTCCTCATTGAGACCAGGCAATCTGCTTGGATTTTTGATGTACGAAATAGAAAGTTTCGCTCAAATGTCAACTCTGTATCAATGTCGACAACATATTCGTCGGCGTAAGATTCTCCTTCTGCCTCGCTGTTGAACTGGAACACATGCGAGTCATCTGCGATTTTGTGAAGTATTTTGCCTGCCGCTTCTTCTTCAAACTGCCAACCTTTCCAAAACATTGAAGGATATTTTGATAACATGTTGTTCTTCTGAATGCCTCAAAGTTTTTGATTTGAAACCAACCATTCTCCAAAATTAGGTGAGTCTAGAGCGTTTTCACGAACGTGACCTTCTTCAGCACTAGTTTTACAGAGTATAGATTCCAGAAATGGGCGGGTTTTTGTGTGAAGGTGTTTAAATTCACCAATTTCTCATAGTTTTTTTTTGAGTATGTGCTGATAATGATGGCACAACTGTCAATCAAAAGCGCATTTTTTACTTTAAAAAAACATAAACATATAACAACGATAAGCACGCTTAAATAGACGCGTTCGCTCGCGTTGCCGTTAGTGCTGATAACGATGTCAATCCAGAGCACATTTTTTACTATTAGCTTGCTCCACCTCGCTCTTACAATTTATTGGCTTTTATCGGTTACCGGAGCAAATGATTTTTAGAGCCGGGAAGCAAAGAAGCCCTAACATGCTGTATACCATTCGAAAGCTGAGATCATGAGAAATCGACATAGATCGTCGACTTTCTTCTAGGTTCTCTGTGCCGCGAGATATGAGGGATTTTGTGTGCTTCAAAAATTAACTGATTTTGTGTCCTCACTTTCTGCTCTCCAAATGAATTCTACGAGAAAGTCGACGGTCTACGTTTGTTAATGAAGACTTGCTCTTTAACACAGATAGATAATCTGCAGTGATTAGGTCTTCTTTTGGCAGAAATCTGCTGTTGAAAATGACCATGTTTCAGATAAAATGCGGTGTATCTCTCGGTAGAGGGGGGCTAGAAAGAAGTCGACGGTCTAGGTCGAATCCCCTTTTCCTGATCTTTCGAATGGTATATAGGTTGCTGGGCGAAAAAACTAACCAGTTTTCAAAAGTGGGGTGGAGATATTTACTATTAGCTTGCTCCATCCAGCTCCACCAATGTATTGGCTTTTATCGGTTACCGGAGCAAATGATTTTTAGAGCCGGGAAGCAAAGGAGCCCTAACATGCTGTATACCGTTCGAAAGCTGAGATCATGAGGAATCGACAAAGACCGTCGAATTTCTTCTAGGTTCTCTGTGCCGCGAGATATGAGGGATTTTGTGTGCTTCAAAAATTAACTGATTTTGTGTCCTCACTTTCTGCTCTCCAAATGAATGCTACGAGGATAAATAAATAATATAAATAAACATAAGTCCGTTTCTTTTGTAAATTTATGAGTGTACTTGTTGTTTGAGGTACTTAGCCTGCAAAACCTCTTAATAACGATTTTTACCATATTCTCAGAGTACAATACCAATCTCAGCCCAGGTGAAGGGGGTCATCGGGAGTTTGGCCTCAAAGTGAAGGGGGTAAGATCCATCACTCCCCCTATCGCAACTATGGTTCTACGTGACGAAAGGGCCTAAAACATGCAGAAAGGTAGAAGTGCAAAATCTGCCGGGACACTGCCTTCATGCTTGTATTATGTCAGTAACTGCATTTCTAATTTCGTCGTCAATGAGTTTCTTCTGTGATTATCAGCAACCTAATCTGAACCACTTGTCAATTTATTGATTTTTATTTTTGCTTCTTCCGTCTTACCGCTGTGCTGACGAGGAAATGGTCAGAACTTAACCTAACCATTCCAAGCAAGCTGTATATCATCGGACTCGTCTTAAAACGCTGATTTCCAGTATATGTTATTTTATCTGCCAAGCGACTATCTAGGAGGAATCATAAGCGTTCTGCGACAAATTTTTCGAGTTTTGACGAATATATTAGGTGGTTCCGAAGGTAATGTCGCTTATTTCAAATGAACGCCACATTCCACAGAATCAAGATTTTCAAGAGATCTTAGAAGCATTTAATGCAGCATTTCATCCCCTTTTTAATGGTTGTGATATCGTTGCATAAGATTCAATGAGCTCTGGAAAAATTACTAAAATCTGCGACCCATGCTTTTTGCTATGGTCAAGTTCGGCTATTTTTATGAATTTTTGTACCTATTCTCCGAAGAAGTGCAAGTGACAGGTAGATAGAGCAAACCCTACAGGATATAGAGTAATTTTTTCTTTTCCTTAGCTTGTTTCTTAGAGTTTCTGGAATCAATTTTTCAATGCTATCAAATCCCATATTTGGTCAAATCAAACCTCACAGAACAACAACCGGCAAGCAATGCGGGTGTCATTCGACGCAGCTTTTTCTCCTCTTTCTACCAGTTGCTTTTGTTTTTGATTCATCGAGTTTTCTGGGATAAAATTGTCATAATTCAGGTTTTCCAGGGCGCTCCAGGCTGTACTCGGAATTTTCGAAAGTTGCTAATCTGAAGCGGTGAATGCTCATTTAGTTTGTAAAATTAGTGTCAAACAATAATCCATCTTTGTAAGTTTCAAAATCCGAAGATGTATTGGTGTTTGATGCATTTGTGTCAGAGACTAGCCTGCTAAAATTCGGTTCCATCAAAAAATCTATACAAAATTTATGACGAGTTCTGGAAAGTAGAAGAAAGTTGTGCTGTTTCCTGTAGGGTTTGCTCTATCCATCCACTACTTGGGCTCCTTCCGAGGGTTGTATTTAGAAATTGTGAAAATTGGCCTTCTTAAAAAGCATGGGTTGGAGATTTTGGTAATTTTTCAAAAGCTCAACGAGTATTGTGCAGTGAAATTACAGCCATTAGAAAGAGGATGAAATGCTGCATCGAATGCTACCAAGATCTCTTAAAAATCTTGGTTCCACTAAATGTGGCGTGCATATGAAAAAAGCGACATTACTTTCGGAACGACCTAATATTTCCTTGAAAGGCAGCCTGATCGTGCGGACTACAGTGTTTATGAGTACTTCAATTACAAAGAAGAAGCACATTTACCAGAAATTTGTAAAAGTGTTTTTGGAACCTGTTTCGTGGAACATGGGACACAGAACACTTGACAAATCGCAAATTTACCCTAATTTCACGCGTACAAGGCGCTCTTTTTCGAATATTCAAGCGAGCCGCTCAGCCGCTTCGCTGTATTTCGGAAAAAAATCTTTACATCGCACGATTCTCTCAAGCAATATACAGCACGTTATAGGGTCTTTTGGTTGTAAAGTCCTTTGGCGTGTCTGGGCTGGTCGATTTGGGAAAAAAATCCCCCGCGCCTTATACGCGTGAAATTGGGGTAAATGCTTATAACGCCCCTCCCAGATATTCGCTGACAGATAATAACCATATGTTTGTGATCAGCTTTTCAAGACGAGTCCGATGATATACAGCATGTTTGGTATGGCTGGGGTAGTTCAGACCATTCCCTGCTGAGTCCACTTCCACTAAAACACTTTCTAGATGGATATATACTATTGGCGATCGCAGGAATTCCTTGCTCCAGGGCTCGGCACAGCTGGCACCGGGTCAAGCTGGATATAGTTTTTGGGACAAAAAGCGGAGGGGATATCGTTTTTGTGGCCGAAAATAGTCGACTTCTCGTTTTTGAGGGTTTTTACGTTTAGGGTCTAGAGTCAGAGAAAATTTTGTACGATTCTCAAGATCAAAGGGGAGTTCGTTTTGAAATTTCCCTGGTGCAAGCTCGTGCCAACCTTGGCTCGATCATTGCCAACAACTGGAATGAAGGCTTTTTGAACATGAAAAGTTAATCGATTCACCCATTTATGAAAATAGCATTCAGGTTGTGTATGAACGCAGTTTTGAAGCTACTATAGGGTGTCTCATAGTTTTTTACCGTTTCTATTTTTACCCTAGACATCAGGATTTCTCGAAAACTGGGGCACTTACAAAAGGTACAAATACATGGTCGTACTTCTGCATGTAAGAGCTATATGATCACGTGTGTGGGAAGAACTCAGGACTTCTAGGGGCGGAGTTTGCCATTTTACTCCATTCCTTTTTTTTTTGATTTCTAGTATAAAAGAAAATACGGGAAGTGTACAATTGAATATCCCATGTGTCAAGCATATGCTAGGATAAATGGGAATTTTTTGAGATCTTTTGGGAACTTGCTTTGCTCTCTCGAATGGTTACTTAAGCCGCATCAATTAATGGAAGGATACAAAAAGACGACGGTTGTACGAAAACGGTAAAAAATTATGAGACACCCTTATACATAGAAAATTGAAAACTGTGAGCAAAGACACTGCAATCTTTCGATAAAAAATCGTAATCGGCATGTCAGATACACATTCTGGTCCGGAACCAACGATAGCTTCAAGACACTATAACGATTGAGTTCAAGAGCCTCGGACAATTCTCGTCGAAAATTTTCACCGCAGGCACCATCTGAATTTATCTAACACCTGCTTTTCATTCGTCTTCACTTCATTGTACTCTTATGCAACACTTTATCATGAGCAGCTTACATACAATTTATGAGAATGTACAAGATGAGCATTGTAACATATAGAAAAGCTCTGATAAGCACATTCTTGAATGAAAGAACACGTAAGGAGACCCATAATTTGACTGAAAAAATCGTCAAAAGCCTAGTATTGAAATGATCAAATATGATAGAGCATTTGGTTTTGTGCTTAAAATATACAGATACATGCTTAACTTGATCTCACTTTCGCAAACACTAAAATATTGTTTCGCAAGATAATTCGAAGAACAAGCGAAAAGAATGAGTTCCTAAACAAAATTTGAGAGATAACGCATTTCGAGCATCCCAAAATGTACACTTTCCCCGACAACCTTGCTTGAATTTTTTTATCTGCCAACCGGCTTGATACTGATCCACTTATCAAGTCGATTGACTTAGAAGCGATTCAAACTTTCCTGAAGAGAAGATTCAAGAAACAGGCAAAAGTTTGAAAAAAATTACAGGAGAAAACTGGAGAATGAGACTATGTCCAAAGTATACAACAACTATACAATAATTTTGTTAAATCATTAGTATGTACAGCTTTGGGACATTCTGGTAATCACATCATATTAATTGAGCACTTTAATGATAACAACAATTATAAGCGTTCATAACATGCTCCTTTACATGACTCTGCTAGGGCGTTCGTGAACTCAGTGAAATCTCCTCAGATCTTCTCGGACGCTGGAGATAACAATGTAAAGTGATATTTTAGAAAAGTCATAAAATCAGTAACATTTTGGATACGAAAAGACTTGTGTGCTTAGGTAAGAACTGTACATAAATTCAAACACTGCTACTGTGAGTATCATAATTCAAATGTCCCGTTTTTCAGTACCGTTGAGGATTCGACATGATGCGAGGGCGATCGTGCGCTGAATGTCTGTCGTCGACCAAGTGCTCCATTCCTCCACGCAAAGAAGAGGCCTCCGAAGTAAACAGAGAGGTAAAATCCAAGTATTATCACGGATAGACCGATCAATATTGCACCTCTGCAAGCAAACTATTAGCGTCAGAGGAAGAAAAATTACGATACGTTAAGTCACATTTTTATACTCTCCTTCCCCCCTCTTAGAACAGGCCGCCAAAGTATGGGCGCGCAATCTCGTTTGCTTTCTTGCTATACCCCGAAAAATCGCAGCCCCTGCTGACCAATCAGAGGCGCTCCGATGTAACCAGCGGTACAAAAAGGCCGTTCCCTTTTAGATGAGACAAACATGTTTACGAAACTACGCAACTGTTATTTGTAAAGAATTGGGATAGTTCTTAGTTTCGAAACTGGGACAGCTATGAAGAACTATTTGGGGCATTTTGAGCTCTGTAAGAGGGAAAAATTTCTTCCTTTGAGCGAGAAGTTTGCTTCGTTCCTCCCATCGAACCCCATTGCTGACAATATTAGTAGTAGTAGAAATGTGCCACACTTACAATACTGTCATTTGAATATCTCGCTGACAACACTCCATGGCACAACAAGTGTCGTCACAAGCAAAGTAGAGGGTGAAATTCTGGAAATATATACTATTCCAGTTAGTTTTAAATTTTGTTGAACAACTTACTGCAATATTAGGAACGTCTGCCTCGCTGGGTATAGATCGCTCCAGTGAATACGCGCACATCGTCTGATCAACCTGAAAATAATGCAAATTGAATTTTACGAGCAATAACGAAGTCCTGCCCATTTCTTCACTGACAGTAAACTTTTCGGAGCACTAATGCTTTCATACGACTTTAACAAAAGAAAAGCAATTTTTCACCAGATTTGATAATAATTCAGAACGACTCTCCAGATATTCTGAAGAGATGTTTTCCCTAACTCTTGAAAGTGCAGTTAGACTTGTAAGGGCAATCTCGTGTAGTTAGAATGTGCTGCAGAATTAAACTTATTTCTGTACTAAATTGTCCTTTGCAAATTGTAATGTGAGAAAGTGGAAAATAAATGTCAAGATTTGCTGTATGCTAATTTGACTAAACTGACAGAAGACATGTTATCAAGTTGTTTCGGAAACAAAGCAAAGGCAGTGTGAAGACTTACCTCGGACAATGTGTATACAGTACCATTTGGTGAATAGTGATATGTGATACCCGTATCTTCTGATTTCGTAGTTCTACAGTGTCGTATGAAAGCGGCAAACTCTTTGCTGATGTTGTGATTGATTTCGTTGTCATATTTTGCTCGCCACAAATTCCCTAAAACACGATATTGCAGTCATAATTGGTGGCTGAAATTCAATGGTATTTTAAATCTAATTTGATGTAACTTTGTGATTTTCTTAGTGTTGTTGCGTTGGAACTCACAACGAAACTAAACCCTTTTTAGTAATCGTTAGAATCACAGCTAAAAATGACTTGGAACATAATAAATTGTTGAAATTGGTTTGTCTCTCAGATGGCAACTTTTCGAAGCAGCTTTTGCTAGCAGGCTTCATAGTTAGAATCGAATATTTTCCGAATATCCGTATTCGAAAAAATTATTCGGACTAGAAAATATGGCCTTCAGGAATATGTTAGAGTCATAGACATTCCTCCCCCTAACCTCAAGAAGCAGCTGGTACGCAACCGCTCTTACGACAACATTTGTACCACTCCCGAATGCGTGGTATGTCCGTACGGTAGACCAGGTGATTGCATGAGGGCGGGGGTGGTATCTCATCACATGTCAGTCGTGTGGTGAGGAATACGTGGGCGAAACAGGGTGACTGGTGTGCGTCCGGATCAAGGAGCACATAGACAGACTTGCGGAGGGCAGATCACCAACACCTCTAGGCGCTCACAGCAGGCTCTGTCATGAAAACGCTACGTTCGATACGGCTGTCACAATCTTATCGCACGAACCCCAAACAATAGCCCGCAAAACTCTTGAGGCCTTTTGGATTGCATCGCGAAATCTAAAAATTAATAGGAAGGAAGAATGCGTTGTCGTTACAAACGAAATGGCACCGTTCCGGACGCTTTGTGGGTTTTGACCTAGTGGGTCGGGGTCGGGTAACGCGGGGAGTGATTTGAATCGAAATCATAGCAGCGGCGCTTTACTGTGGGTGGTCGCCTACTCCTGACTGCAAGGCTATAAGGTAAGCGTTAACTGTTCCGCGTCTCTCGCTTGTTTCTGGCTCTTTTGGCTATGGGGTTTACCGATGCGGTGGAGATAGAGTATTTGAGGGGTTAGATTACAAATATCATCGTCCTTACAGACTCTGAAGAAGGCGCAGAGCCGAAACGTAAGCCTAATAAAGCTGTGTATCAATCTTGGCCTCAGCTGCAACAACACCTACTAAGACCAATCAAGACATGCCAAGATTCATTGACGGTCTGACTTGGAATTTGGATTCGAACTAGAAAAGTCGAATATTCAAGAAAGAGCATTTAATTGATTGTTCGAGTAGTCGAATAAATGAAAAAGGATTTTATTCAATATGTGTTTACTCGACGAATCGAAAAAACAATTATTCGAAATTTTATTCAAATGTTTGAATGTTTGAATAAAATTTCGAATAAGTTATTTTTTCGATTGGAATAAACAAATATCCGAATAAAAGTCTTTTTCATTCATTCGAGTATTCGAATAATCAAATAAATGCACTTTCCTGAATATACGATTTTTCTAGTTCGAGTAAATCATTAGTATACGAATATTCGAAAAATATTCGGTTCTAACTATAGCAAGCTTACCTTTCATCGGTATATGTCCAATCTCGTTGCGCTTGGCGATCACGAATTCGATGATATTCAAAATGAATAACAAAACCACTATGATCATCGCAAAAGTTTATATCCTCATGTATCTGGAAGCAAACTGATAGATCCACAGTAGACTTCACTTATCAAAATTTATTCAGCGCACACAGTTAGATGAGAATGTAAGCATCGAGACTTTAGCTACAGACACATGACTAACGAGCAGGAGCAGGAGAAAAAGCAGAAAAAACGGAAGCTAATTTCTGAGGACCAGAATCTTTGAAGTCACAGGAATTCTGGGGTTGGAAATTCGAAGAAGGGGAGATGAAAGTCATCTTTGAAATGAATAAGCTGTCATTGAGGAAAACAACTGACAACCAGAAGCAATGTAACAATTTTCAATTCTTTGTCTTAAGTGTTAACTAGTTGTAGTTGACGCACCTCAAACATTCTGCAGAGTACAAGTACATTTAATCGGTTTTTGACTGTGAAAAGGTTGTTATTGTTTTTTCAAGTGAGAATTCGAGTCTGGAAAAGAAATAAAATTTCATAGCTTTCATGAACAAAAGGCCAGCAAGAAAGAGTTGTGAATGAGTTAAGTGGTGCTTGCTACAAGTTTCCATGTTGTTTTTGTCTGAAAACTGATATCCCAGAGAAGTGTGCACATTGTTGTCAGATCTTCTTGTTTTAGAGATAACGTATATATGAGACAACTTCTGCTGTAGCAAAAAGGAGCTCAATATTTTTTCTACTTTATGAACTTTGGCTTTACGCTGCAATGAGAATTACAGATTGTTGAGTAATGAATTGTTCCACATATGAAAAAGATTCCACGATTACGTTAAGGTTGTAATGTAATATTCTGAAAGACTAACAAGATATAACAATCTTAATATGACTACCGTATCCTTCACAGAAATCATACTTTGAAGGATTATTACGATCACTATGTATTTCAAAACCCTTAATAGTTCGAATAGAAGGATTATGAGCTGGGCGAATCAAATTGGCGAATAGAGCTCAAGAAATCATAACGTCCATACAGTGATATAGCTCAAATATATGCAAGCCCAAGCTGAAGAAAAGCCTGTATTGCAAATGTCCGTGACCTTCCTAGGATAAATGAAAAGATAATATTTAACAGAATAACATAGTGAGTTCATGTTATATGTATGGTTCATTTTTAAAATCGTGACGACGAGTTGACTGCGCTCTTTTCGCACATGGAAGAAAAACACCCATACAAACAGGCCGCTTAGCTCAGTCACTCCCAGTGCCTGAATACTATCATATGTAAGCAGGAAAACTATTTGAATAGCCATAGAAACCAAGAATTGGGAGTGCGTGCGTGCTGCGCGCGGTCGCGCCATCGTCACGATTTTTCGACTGCCCTATACATGCAAGTACATTTGCAACTTTCAATACTACTTCTTCAACGTAACTGCCTTCCTTAGTGAAATACTTTATGTAAGGGTATATACGAGCGTGCAAACAAAAAGTGCATACATTAACATTTCAGGAAATGGCAGTTAAGTAGATTGAGATTGCCATTTGAGTAACAAAAAGCGTTTGATGACGTCTCTAAGCTTCTGCAATGTGCAGGTGAAATCTTTTCGTCTTTTGAGAGGAATAATCAAGATATAGAAGAAGATGGATGCATTTGGAGTAAGATAAATCTAAAAAATGAAAAAAATCTATTCTAAATGTGAGAATGCACTAGTGGACACAGGAGAAGCCAAGTTTGGAACGTAGCTAAAATTAGCATTTGAATGTATGAGGATATGGGGGGATGACTACATCATTTGCATGAAGAAAGCACAGCTAATCAACTAGAGCGCTCGTCCAGCTTTTCTGCCAGTATTAATCTATGAATGGGTAGCTATTCCGCCTTCAAATCCTCTCAAAAGTCTAACAACTGAAGATCGACGAAGACTTTCCAACCACAAGAAAAGTTCTGTTTGGAGAAAGGAGAAGAATATAAAGGACGAGCTGGCATCCCGGGTTCCACCCCGTTCTGGAGCCTCCATCGTGCTTGACCTCTCATGTAGCGAAACTTAACCTTCTCTTGACTCCAACTGTCTTGGGTTAGCTTCCTACCGTTCTTACCGTATCTTGGTGACCACCACATCAAAATGAGCTTCACCGCTCATCCTTCATGACTATGGGGAATATGCACAGACACACAAACACACAGATTTTTGCTTTATACAGGGTGTCCCGAAAAATGTATCGAACGTTTGATCCTTGATAACTTCCCTATATGGAGAGCTTTCGCGGATCTTTGAGTGTCAAACGGTAGAGCTGGGTTCAACTTAAATTTATAGTATGGAGCAAATCACCGATTCCTCTTAGTTACCGTAGGATTACGGTGGGAATTTTCGACTAATTTTAACCTTCTGACAGGCGAGAACTGCTTCTAAAAGTTCTAAAAAAAAACCGAAAGACGTTAAACTGAGGTGTTCGGGGATGCTGAATCTAATTAAAAAATTTTCCGCTGCCGTACTCCTCATCTTCCTATAATAGGTGCACTGTAACGTGAATTATTGGTTTTTTTCCAAAATTCACTAAATGAACATTGCAGTTACAAACACGTCGTCAGCCAAAAATTTAGCGTTACAGTGCGCCTACCATAGGAAGATGAGGAGTATGGTAGCGGACAACTTTGTAATTAGATTCAGCATCCCCGAAAACCTCAGTCCAACGTTCAGTCCAAGTCTCAGTGTTTGTAACTGCAATGTTTTAGAATTTTTTACAAGCAGTTCTCGCCTGTCAAAAGCTCAAAATTAGTCGAAAGTTCCCACCGTAATCCTACAGTAACTAAGAGGAATCGGTGATTCGCTCCATACTGTAAATCTAAGTTGAACCCAACTCTAACGTTTGACACTCAAAGATACGCGAAAGCTTTTCATATAGGGAAGTTATCAAAGATCAAACGTTCGATACATTTTTTGGGACACCCTGTATATACAGAGATGAAAATACTTTATGCACTCCTGTCATTTTTCAAAACACATAGATCATATTAGGTTGGCTAGAAAGTTCTTGCGTAATTCAAACAAAATTCAATAACTTTTCAATGCCTAAACTTAAATTCACATCCTTGTTCTCTAAAAATATTAGAAGGCCTGCGCTCCATGATGGATGTTTAAGCGCAAGATTTCATGAGCTAGCCCCCGAGAACGAAGCTCTCAAATATGGGACTTCAAAATTTGCAATTTTGAGATTGGTGCCAGAAAATCGCAGAGTGCCGTTAGCTAGCCGAAAAAAATCTGTAAAAATTACTTGCACTGCAGAAGTCTACAAGTTACTTTGGAAGGCTTTGATCTTGCACGGTGAAGCAAAAACAAAAAATTCGTGAACTAGTCATTTTGCGGAAAAAATCCACTCATTACCGCAGTTTTTCGGCAAAAACATTTTTTTACACTCCAAAAAACGTCGCAAGGTTCTAAATGGGCAATATGTCTTATTTCTGGTTGCAAACTGTGTTTTTGTGAAAAAATTACATCGATAAGGGGATTTATCCTGTAAAATGACAATTTCCACAAATTTTTTGTTTTCGCATTTCTATGCGAGATTAAAGCCTGCTAAAATAACGTATGGACTTCTACAGTGTAAGTAATTTTTACAGATTTTTTTCGAGTAGCTAGCGGTACTCTGCGATTTTCTGGCACCAAACTCAAAATTGCAAATTTTGAAGTCCCATATTTGAGAGCTTTGTTCTCAAGGGCTAGCTCATGAAATCTTGCGCTTAAACATCCATCATGGAGCGCAGGCCTTCTAATATCTTTAGGGGACAAGATTATGAATTTAGGTTTGGTCATTGAAAAGTTATAAAATTTTGTTTGAATTACGCAAGAACTTTCTAGCCAACCTAATATGAGATAGCAAGACGATACCATAATGAACTTATAAGATAGTAATATAATGAAGTGGTGCGTTGAGTAAGGAATTTTGGATATTGTTCAAAATCTTTGCTTCACTTTTGCACGAAATTCACCAAAGATTAATTCTCAGATATGCTTATAAGCAATTATTAACCTAAGAGAAAAAAGACCTAAGAATAGGAGAAATGTTTAACATGTTTTTAATCGGGCAGTGTGCCAACGGTAAAAATCGCCTGAACAGATAGATAATAGCATGATGCCACGCCACATGCACATTTAGAAAAGAAAGAATTTTATTATTCAGCAGTGTCAATAACAAATTAAAAACCAAAATAGTCTCTTCAAAATGAGAACTGAGAGGGGCGCTCTGTTCAAAAACTCTAACTCGAAAATCAGACATCTAGAATACGCAGATTATATCAACACCTCCAATATTCTGCTTTTGTGATCTCTTCTGTTGGAATTACATACCTATTTTAACCGCTTGATTTTATAGCCTCGAGGATTGATATAATTTAATTTATGATGCCGGCTTCTTCAGAGTGGACATTCAATTTCCTTTCATAAATTTCTAATTTCTAAACTAATTCAACAAACAGCCTACTCTAGACGAATCTCGAAAATGAATTGAGCATTTGTGGTGAAGGTTGAAGCACGGGTCCAAGTGGTTGTTGTCAGCTGATGGAATCTTATTTACTCTCATTTGCTGCAAAATCGTTTGTTATGCACAAGAGATCTTGCAACTATGTTGCAGCTCCTCCAACAAAGACTCATACATCGCATTTACTAATGTGAGCAAGGAGAAAAAACGTTTAAGAAGATTTCTAAAAATATGCACATCTTGCAAGGATGGATTGTGCAAGGATTATTAGCGCCGGTTATAGGTACTCTTTCCTAGCATTTTGTAGCCCAAATTCATGGATATGGAAATGGGAAAAGAAAAGAAATCTGCAAAAATCCGACTACCTTTCCGAATCATTCCATTGTAAATGAGAAGGTAGAAAAATCACATACAATTTTGAAATACTGTATCGCAATTTAATACAATCCTCGGATACAAGTTCGTATCTTGCCTTGCAGTAAAAGTTCTTTGACGTTCGGCCATCCATAAGACTACAAAACTTCTTCCAACAATGTACTACCAGCTCCATTCAATCTCAGCGATGGCAATGAAATGCCATTAGTATCTCTCGGCTTTGCAAGGATTTACTTGAAAGCATTGGTATAAAAACCTCACATTATAAAAGATTCTCAGTTTGAAAAATCGTACCTACTTCATACCCACAAAGTGGCACTCGACTTTTTGAAATCATCAGTTTTGAAGTTTTTGTAGATTGCTTTGTTGATTGGGAAATGAAACTTCCTTAGAATCCCTCATGCTCAAATACTTTATCAAAAGCTGAATCATTTCAGTTTTAAAAGAAATAAACTTTGCAGTAAAAGGGGAACCATTTGAAGTGCCTGCTCAGAATGTAAGTAAAAATATTATGAATGAATGTGTTAGGGCACAAGATGAATTCATTATCGTTGCAAAAGTGTGGGGATTTATGAGTGATCA